GTAAGGTGCTTTAGCCTTATAAGTATAAATGTTGTTATCTATGTTGCACATGCTGTAGAAACATTTGGAAGGATTGTGAGGTGCTTTAGCCTTATAAGTATAAATGTTGTTGTCTATGCTGCACATGCTGTAGAAACATTTGGAAGGATTGTAAGGTGCTTTAGCCTTATAAGTATAAATGTTGTTGTCTATGGCGTGAAGCAGCCAATGACTACTCTACCAGTGCTAGGGGATCCCTTGTCTTCTGTGGAAGGATTGTAAGGTGCTTTAGCCTTATCTGTAGAAACATTTGGAAGGATTATGAGAGGTTGCTTTTTTGTGTTTCCGTAAATAAAATTTTTTCACTGGTTAACAAGTCAAAGTTTATAATTATCACGTGTGGTAGACCAGTGGGGTAATTTACTACCGATAAGCCACGCGTATAAACTGATCTAATGATATCTTAATGATGAACAATATGATATCAGCATTACCTATGTGGTACGGTGAGTGACAGAACAACTTCGTGTAATACGTGTAAATAAAGTAGAAACATTTAGAAAGATTGTATGGAGGTACTTATTTTCGTATGTCAAATCATTTATATCAGATCGGAATTTATGTCCACTCGGAACTGACATATGTCAGATCGGAATTATATCATGATGTATGAATCAAGTTGACATTCTGTCTTATCACTATGTGGCTATAGATAAGTTGTATGCACACTAATACTAGCGTACAAAAAACACAACCATCGATAGGTGCATGTTACAATGATATATGATAATGTCATAATATCATACAGTTCACATTCATTAGTTGACTTGACAACAATTTTCTCATCTGTCATTTGTTCCGTCACAACTTTGATTATCAATCAGAATATACTCTTCTGCAGAAATATGTGATATTTGGTCAATGAGAACTATGAGTTCTTGTTTCACTTTGGCATCATTTGGGGGAGAGTCTGTATACTGAGAACATTCGATAGATGATTAGAATAGCTGCTAAAAATAGATCAATTAATCCGCTCGAAAGATATATAATAATAAGTAGCGTAGATTTCAATCAGTCAGGGAGTGAATAAGTACATGTTTAATTACTCTCGATTCCTTTATTGTAAATAAATTTATACTCTGAAATACATTGTTAATGATTCGTTCCCTGGTAACTTATCGGTATAGCTGAGAAACCGCTAATTATAATCTCTATATCGATGAAGAATAATCGCCTCTTGTCCTGCGATTATTCGAGTGGCAAATCACGATAATTAATTGTTATGTAGATGCGCATTATTATAATTTATACGCCATTGTACCCCAGATAGTAACCGATAGACATACTCGAGTACAATTAATATATCCAGGATTAGCGTCACTCTACGACGGGAGGGTTTTCGTAAGTGCAAAGCCTTGATTGGACAAGGTCACTAACTGTGACCGAGATTTACCTAGATAAGGAGACGCCACGCTCTGCCGAAACTAGCTAAATTCCTAGTGTCGATTATTACCTGCTCTCCCGTGACAGTGAACTGGGTTTAATAATAATAAGTTCATGATAATGAAGTTTGTTGATAATGAATCTGGATACAGAATACAACATTATTATAGGATATGCACCAAGAAATATCTGAACATGATAATGATGGCAGAAATAATGACACCAATTATAATACCTTCAAGCTGTAAATAACTTTTTGGTCAATTGGCCATAAATTGATGTTGTATTAAGAGAACATTAGAAAGGGTCTCATAGGTTTTTTGTCTAATAATATTTGGCATTATCTATTAAAATATAACAATAACAGAAGAATACGCTGATTGGCTCTATTCTGTTATTATTATATTGAATTGATACAAAACAACTTATTTTTTATTCAAATATGTTGGTTGAGATAATAATAATAATAAGCAAAGACTCTGCACCCAAGCCTTGTTAATTTAATAGATTCGATGAAGCATCGAAGTGAACTAATTATAGAAAATAATGGTGATCGCATCCCATATTAAATAATAAATCAATTAACAGCACCTTTTAGGCTTTCAAATAAAGTTTAAATCATATTATTTGGAGCAATGTGTAATGAGTTAGAAGAAAATTCGTTTGTGCCATTTTCTTTTGAACGAAGTCGCAGTATAGAAGAGGCAAGAGTATTAGGCATATTATATCAAGACCTCATGTTTAAGCATAATAGCATTACGAGTGTTGTTGACTTCATGGAGCGTCTTTATGGGTTTCGTGGCACATTAACACAATCAGAATGTGGACAATCACTCTTTAACAGGATTAGTCACTTATTGGAACATGCGCACTGTTCTGCATGAGAGTAAGTCACCACAAAAGACAACTGATCAACTTCGCCGTTTGAATCAAAGAAGACTCCTACTACTTCTTGGTCACGTTAAAGACATCCCTAAAAAGTGTTTATATTGTCTGCATATACATACAATGGCTCTACCCGAAAACACAAAAAGCATGTTTCTTAGAGTCAGATTTGGATAATTTCACGGTTCACACTAGAATATAACATCCAAACCGGAATCAGTGAATTAATAATAAATTTACAACAAATAGGAAAGAAAATATAAAAAAAAAAACATTTAAAAAGCCGACAGGTTGTGATTAGAAAGCGACCTATTTCCATTACATGTAACTATGGAGAGAAAGCTTGAGTGCGTCAAACCCAAAGTTAGAAAGATGACTAAAAGAAATAGATACATACAGTCGCGTGCCGAGTCCATTAATAACTAGCCTTGACATCATTTTGCCAATTTCCGGATAAAGTGGTAAATTTCTCCAAAGTATGTGAAAGATCGGTGTCCCGCTAATTACAAAAAATGGCTTTCTTATTAGCATTTTACACAGAATATACGGATCATAACGAGCCCTGTATCGCTTACTTTTATTGCCGCTTTATTTTGCAACTCCACCAGTAAATCGTGATTTTTTGCAAGTTGTGCTTCAGTTTCGTGAATGAATTCCTTGGGAATGTTATGTTATCCATTCAGCACATGTCTAATTAACGCATATCCTCTACATCATAAAGTGTAAAAGCGTTACCTGCTTGGCCATCGTGACGAGCTCATTATCGTACTTTAATGTCTCAAGTTCCTGTTTCAGTTTCTTCAGTCGAGTAATTACTTTATAAGGATTAGTGGGTGCGCGTCGTTCAATTTCATACATTCGTTTGAACTCTGCTTCTAGCTTAGCTTCTATGTATTCCAGCTCTTTAAGACAGAAACTGCACATTGTCAATAATATACTGACTGTCAATAATTCAACTGTGCGTCGTTATACCTGTACGTGCTTGCTCGAACTCCAGACGGAGAGTTTTCGTAGCTGTCTCCATGTTAGACAAGCTTCTTTGCATAAAAAGTTATCATAAAATAAAAGACGCGTTGTTCACGGGGATAAGTTACACCAAAAAGCGATCATAATCAGATCCCTCGAACGGGTAAGTTAACTCAACTATCGTCTGAACACTATGTCCGAAATCCAAGCCCGAGATCCATTTGATTCCATAACAAAGGTAGGGCGGATATGTCGCATTACCTTGGCTTTGTCGTAAGTGAGTCTGACTATAATTTAATTCAACGTTTAGGGATGTTTCGTAATTCTGCCGGGAGAACCTGTGAAATCTAAAAAACGCGCGTCGATAGCTGGCATGTATATATATATGTATACGTTGGACTCTGTCAATATAAACATTTATAAGGATTTCTTGTAATATTTAGTGTAATATTGGTTAATTAGCGCATAAAGATGATGGCACGAACTATAATCCCTATCATCGTGAACATTTTGGTTTTCAGCGACTTATTGACGGCACAGAATCCGTAGAGACACTTAAATTGAGAGTCAAAGAATATGAAAGAACATGGTCTGAAATGAAGAATAGGATCGATGTATGTTGTTACAGGTGATGTTATATCAATCGCGACATCCGAGTTATATTGACGTTGTCTTTTTTTATAGAGTCTTCTGGCAAACATCAACAAGTTTTCGATAGAAAGCATTGTTAATTTCGTGACCAATGCATACAATGATACCTCCAACTTTCAGTAAGTTTTATTTCTTGAAATCCATACTACTAACGGCGCGTGTATTTTAGCGCATACAGTTGGGTGATGGAATTTTGGCCAAATTGTTCACCCATACTTTACTTTTGATCTCAGAAATTTGAACCTACCATACTGTGAACTACCGACAGCATTAGTATTTGCAGGTTTGTCAGAGTGGATTTTGCGTTTGTGATCAGACATTGTATACTTCCTGATGTACATTCTATCAATATAGGGATTAACATTCCCGATCACGATGTATTGTTCAAACAAGTTGCTCGTACATTACAACAAAACGGTCATGCTGTAGCCACTCTGAGATCGGCAGACTGTTCCAATTTAAAGAATACCATTGGTCATATGATTGAACAATTAATGAACACGCAGAAGGATTACGAGAAGGACGAAGATGAAGACGAGGTATTCTTATGCTGTTATGAATGAGTTCTGATGGCGCATGTACATTAGACAGACTTACAATGTGCATATATGTCTAGGGGATAGATGAAAGAATCGTCTTTTCTAAAAGAGCAAAGGTATGAATGATGTTTATCAAATTTGATAGAGGACATCTAATCAATATCTTATCAATAGGGTGGATCTCGATTGCCCAAATATGACATGCAATTGCTCGCAGGATGGTACGAACATATGTACCAGACGGCCAGATGCAATGATAATGGTGAGAACTATTACACTTCAAAATGCCAGCATGCTACACTAAATCTCAGTGATTGTCTGACCAAGCTTACGACTCAAAAGGTTCGAGACTTGTCGTTATAATACAAGATTTTGAATGTTTTGACCCAAAACTATTGGAGGATTTGGTGCTTATATGCAGGTATTTAATTTATTAATTTGATTAATGGGAAAATGGAAGTTTGAAATAAATGAACAACCCTTATTATTATCATAACCTCATCCTGTATCTTTGATAATAGTGAATATAGAGAACGACTTCCAATGGTTTTTTTAATAGGCATTGCAACAACAATAGAAATATTACACGATACGCTTCCAAAATCGACCTTGAGTTTATTAAGAATGGAGAAATTTTCTCTACTGCAGCCTGATCAATGTTTTAATGCACTTGTGAATGAGGTTGGTATGGAGGATAGGGAAGGCTTTCGAATTATTTAGTTTCTCATGCACTTTTTTGTTACAAGGTAATCATAGAAGAATCAAAAGGGATAAAGCTTGGCCTAGCACCATTCAAATACCTGACGGATACATATTTGCTGCTGAATTATTCGATTTCTTCTTACGTGTCAAAATTGCAGGTTTGACTCAAGCAAGTCTGTGATTGTTCTATTTACTACTGCTTATTGACATGGTTTTTTTTAAATAGTATGCGGTCATGCATCATTACTACGCGAACCCCTTGAGTTTCCTAAGTAACATTAATCGAGAAGAAGCTCAAGCTAGATTGTATCTACTGACAGATGAGCATTTGGAAATTATCCGAATGCAGACCTCTTTTAGAAAGTAAGTGCCATTCCATATGCTTTATTGAGTATATTTCATTCTTCTTACACGTGTTGTCTTCACACAGGTTCGTTGAAGCATGTTTGCCAAATTATCAAGAAGTCGTGAAATTATTAAAAGACAACAATTATCTCAGATCGTTAATTCCCGGATTTATCGAGGAGATGCAACTATATCAGAAGAAGTTTTCCGTGGCATTTAATTTTATTTATATAATACAAAAATCATTGAATGAGCCGTCAATGAGGAAACAGAAATATTATCTATATTTTATGGCATTGCAGGAAACAAATGGACTATGTGAATCCGATTATGTTAAATCCGTTGTTTTGCACTTGAGGTAAATGACACATGCTTTTGAAAAGTTACTTACTGTAACCAGAATGTATTTGCTAACCATCAATGAATAGGAAACTTGACTGCATGAAATTAAGGGAGATTGTCATTGCGTGCAAGGAATATTTGAGCCAACGAATTGATGACATAATTGAACTGACGGAAGCAATGTCTCTACTAGAAAACTTTGCTGAGAAGCTCAGTTCTAATGATGATAGTGAGTGTGAATTAGAACGTGAGCAGGCCATGCTATCTATCGGCGAGCGTCTTGTCAGGTCGCGAGCCAAAGCGGCGAGAAACAAAACGAATTCCACCAATGACACAAAATTAAGCAAAGATGTCGTAGGATTTTTTGAGGCGCTTTTTAGGTTTGTTGTGTTATTCGTGAGTTAATCACACGCATTACATTCCTGGAATATAAAGCTGACTTTATCACTACAGGGATAATCTTAGACATTATTCATCAATCACATTGCACGAACTTATATATTATGATACAGTTCATTTGCTCAAGAAAGTAAGTCCACTGTTTGTTTTATTATTGCTAAATTTGACATTTACTTTATGTGTTTGTTCGACTTACGTAGGCGTTCAATGCACAACCGCGAGAGGCATTGCAAACAGCACTTGGTCAGCCAAATCACTACATTCGCTGTGATTGCTGTCTTGAAGATCAAAGTGCCGTTGATGAAATACTGTCAACACAAAATGATACGTGTATATTGTATAAACTATACCTGGAATTTGGAAGGTTAATTAATTTGTATGATTGGTTTGTTGCATTTAAGCACGTGCTGGATAAAGCAGGACCCATTGAAATGAACGAAGCGCAGTATCCTTTGCGTAACAGATATAGCTGATTTTTGTTGCAGAACATTATCCCTTAACTCGCGTGTTTCTATTCGGAACAGGGCACGATTTATTCATGGAATTGGCGAACTCCAGTTTTTAGGCTTTGCGAGACACACGAATCGCAAGATAGATCATGTTGAAAGATTGACATGTGGAATGTTTACCTCTGGTTAATTGATGGCGTTTTGCATTATATTCCAAAAATATTAAGAGAAATCTAGCATCGTATTTCGATATAGCATCACTTTGCACAACAAAACTAGACACTATCAATAATAACGATTGAAAAATGAGGAATAAAAATGTAACTATAGTTGTATACAACAAAGAAAACATGCTGATACCTAATGTGTAAATTAAAGCAGATTCGCAGTAATTCCTGAAGACTAAAGACATCATGGCAATCGAAATAACCCAAATGACTGGGTTGAATAACGAGTTCGCCATCAATTATAAGCATCGATACAAAAATGATGAATATCCCTCTCCAATACTACCGTATTGCACTGACTCTAGTACCCCCATCCCCCTTTGCTTAGTACTCTGGATCTTATACTAGTCCCATTCCAGTCTTCTCTTATTTGATATCCTGCAACATTTGAAAGATTTTTATCATATTTCCGTGCATTCCATTGACGTCGTACCTTCCGGGCTGTATTTGCATAGCGAATATTTTTATTAGCGCGTATCGATATAACGCGAAGAGAATGCTAAAGTACACATGTTTTCTTTTCTAGATTGATTCCCACCCCACCCCCTCTGGTACAGTATCACCCCTCGTATATTTTCACACAGTACCCCCCCCCCCCTCCCCAGCGCGATACGGTACTTCGATATCCCAATTTAGTACATTCGTTTTATAACGATTCTTCTTGGGGGGGACGTAAATCAGTCCGTTTTGGAGTTATTAACGGGTGCAATTGGGCAAGATATGTAACAGCCCACCTAATCAAATGGCAAGAGAATGTATTTAAGATTCACGTCAAAGTCAAGCTAAAAATAGGGCAGGTACTCACATTAAATAACAGCATATGAGAGTCAGAATAAGTACGGTTCGTATTGTTCTAATATGGGATACATGTGTTCATGGCAGGTTAAAACCTTACTAGGATTTCACTGAATGCGTTCTAAACGACAAATTCTGCTTCTAAAACTTACGTCTGGTTTTGACCACTAGGTGCCAGTAAATAAGATGCTGTACAGGCACCGCTGACACCGGCTAGAACCCACAATATATTCCAACCGCTCATGATATAATAATGTCCGTATGCTTTAAAGGTTAAGAGAGGAGTAGTAGTTGTGGTCGGGAAATAAATGATCTGATAAGATGGTGGGAGATGATTGGATCTTCCCGTCATAACATCTCATGACCCAGTATTAGTATTAGATCGTATTAACTAAAAATGTGTGTTTGTTGACAGAAATTCGAACACGAAATAAAAGTAGGGTACACGCGAGAATTCATACTGATAATAAGGACGTGACGCACTGCATTAGTACCCTGTCATATTTTGCAATCAGGACTTGTTTATACATTCAGTTGCCCATTTGGGAATATCTCATACTTGTTTATTTTTCCGACTAAGCTTTCTCCTTAAATGACCAATATTAATAGAATTTTCATCTAACAAAGGGTTCTGTGTATTTAACTGACTTCACAATATAGCAATTATCTGATAATTAGCAAACATTCATTTTGAGTAGTGAATCGGATGCATCCTTCCGTTATAGCACTCGCAACACTTTATCTTTTCATGAAACTCGAATGTGATGGGTAAGGAAACATACCATAATTGTTTCTTCCTTTCTGTCTAGTTTATCGGATTGCAAGCACATTCAAGCAATTTCAGGCGGGAGGCGTATTTGCTATGAAGCCATTTATTTCTAGTCCAGGTTTTATTTTTTATTTTTTTCGCGTCTTGTTCTGCGACACGAATCTGACGTTTTAATCGTACTAAAACACAGTAAAGTCGAAATCAACCAAGTACCGCAATTATTGCTGTTCTTTTACGTAATCAAGCTCCACATTGTTGTAGTCATAGTTTTGAGTTAATTCTCTTCGGTAAGTTCGACATAAATCAAAAATCGCTTTTTGATAGTCAATTATTTCATTAAGGGATTTCTTTTTTCTGTGTCTTCAATTTTTTGAAAATAAGACCAAATTTTATTTTCTCTCTCTCTCTCTCTCTCCGAATTTGTTTGCCATATTCTGAACCTTTTCCTTGCCGGTTTTTGGCTCAGAATACAATTAACTATCCACACGTGCCCCTCATTTGAGCGGCACTTTTGGCATAGCTTTGCGGTGAGAGGTTTTTAAGCTGTTCAGCAGGAGGTCCATAAAAAACGTGACGGCAAAACGTATGGCATTCGTGTGCTCTGATAAGAAAGCGTAAGGGTGCAAGTTTCCGTGATTATGAGCCCACGCCCCTGATCTTCTATTCACAATAGTTACCGTTATTCTTTTTTACCGTGCTCAATCCGAGTCCTGATTGCAAAAGATATAATAGTTCGCTTTGTAACCTAGTAACAAGAAATTATTATTATATCATTGTTAGCTTCTGTCTTTCGTTGTCCTTTGCATAAGCATATTTCATTCACAAAACCAACCTCATCATGCACTCTCAATATATCTGCAATAGTGTTATTTACAATGTTCGGTCCAGTTAGGCTAGTTTCCACCCGCTGCTCGGTAAGCCTGACAGGGTTGTTGTCCGTAATCTCATCTGTTGACCATCTGAACACAGCATTCGCCTCCGCTGGACGGATCACCATTTCTTCCCATCCGGGTGGGAGGATTGACGGTCCAGTTTGAGAATTTGACGTGATTGGGGGCAAGGAGGGATGAGAAATGCAGGACGAAAATGAGACGGGAGACGAGAATATGGAAACTGGGGGTGATAGCGGACATGTGCGAGAAGAAGGGAGTGGAGTCTGAGGATGAAAAGACGAATGCGTCGAAACTGTCTGTTGAGTGGGTGTCTGGACTTGCGTTGAGGAAGCTTGATCTGGAATTGTTTGTGTCTGAGGATTTTCTTGTGTTTTATCCTGATTTTCATTTTTTTGAGATTTCTGTTCCCGCACCTCGGCTCTTGCGCGCGTCTGTCTCCGCGCTTTTGTCTGCCCTCCTCCACGTGGTTTCCGTCCTCTTGCCCGCTGCTCGCGTTTTTCCTGAATGGGATTGAGCTCCGGTATTATACTGAATTCTGGTGTCAAACCTACCGAAGACGAACGTGCCGAGGGTGATTGAGAGGGTGTCTGAGATATTAAGGGCGATTGAGCTAACGAGGGTGTCTGAGATATCAACGGTGATTGATCCAACTCAGATACCAAGAAAGTGTGTGAGAAAGTCGCCGGAAATAATGATGATGGAGGTGTATTAGTATGTGGACTTGGACTCCATTGGTTTGATTGTATGCGTTGGTGTCGAGGTTGTTGTTGCTGGGGTTGATGCTGCTGTGGTTGATGCTGCTGGTGTTTGTATCGTTGCTGCACGTGCGAATCATGAGTCTTCGGTGTTGGCGTTTGGGGAAGACTTCCATTCACGTAGAATGATTGCTGAAACTCAGCCTGTTCTATATTCAAGCCTTGTGATCGTGTGGCTAGAGGTAGCTGGTACTGAGGACCCAGCCTTTCGGGCTCGAGATCAAGTTGTTGAGGTTGCTGTTGGGTTGCTTCAAGACTCAAGACGCGTCTTTTTTTTTGATTACGCATATTGGCACTGCAAACAAGATAAGATTCTGTTTAGTATTAGTGAGAAATTGATTGGACATTTAGCATATATATGAATTCGTGTAACAAGGGTCATTCCCAGTTATAATTGGTTAACATTCCGCCGATCAGGGTTTAACCATTTCTTTGTTCGCATGGCTTATTTTTGAATGGAGTTTACCACCGAGTCCTGCTCAGACTTATCGAATAAGTTTCTATGTCTTCCTATGCGTCGTCGTTTGTTTGAATAATTTTTTTTACATTGCATTGTGGAGCCTCTTGTACTTGCAGAATAAATATAGAGAAATCCGTCAAAAAAGGATAAGTCAATTCAAGAATTTATGTTAAATATTTGGGTTCGCCAAACATCAGTTAGACAATTCAATTGTAGTGCGAATCTCAACGAGAGTTATTAACGTCGCAAGAATGAAGAATTATTTGATACACGTTCAATAATAATTATGATTAAAGATGAGTGGAGCGTTAATTTTCCAACAATATTACTGTATTAGCCTTATGCTATTCCCCAAATATTATTCCGTCATTTAAAATCTTCCTAATACCCGAGATCTGAAGATGCGAAAAACAATTCTGACGCAAAAATATCTTTACAGAACGAGGAGGAACCGTAACACCATATTTAGAAAGAGGTTTATCCCCGTTGTGGTTGTACTAAACACTATTAATGTGCCAAATAATTGGGTTTACAAGATCTTAATTTGAAGCTATGGGTTGAGTAGAAAGAGTTTTCCACAGTACATGCTAAGCATTTTGGTAGCTTTCTTTTGGTGTGTTGTGTAGATCTTCTACGCACGCATCAAGCTATATTATATAATACGACGCTGTCGTAAACGTTGAGTTCAAGTTTGGATGGAATAAAAGTGAACTACTAGAAAAAGGTATCTTACCGTATCTGATTGGCAGAAGATATATGATGTCAGCAGTATTAATCAGACTCAGCAATCCATTTAAGTCTATTATTTTCTCAAATGCTCTGTTCCATTAACTCCAATTATTACTCTTCCTCCCGAACATCGCTGATGCGTTCTATAGGAAAGTTTGTCAAAAATAGTCAAGTTGGAACAAGCTAGAGATTTTGTTGATGCATGTTTTGAAAGAAATAGAAAGTATCATCAAAGCTTGTATGTTTATCATAGAGTATTAAATACTTACTATCTGAGATAGTGATGTCGTCTATTTTCCAATGTTATCTTGTTACAAAGACTACACAGCAGGCAATAAGACTTTATCAGCTGTTTATAGCAGGTTGAAATGTTCCAAATACAACGTTCACGGACCGCAAATACTTTAATCATCATTCACCTCTGGAGTGTCGCGTCCTTTTATTAATTACGTACGTTACCCGCTACAGGCATTCAGTATTTATTATCAGATTGTCTTACTCCTTCACTATAAGTAAAAAATAGGAGAAGCGATTAACACGTGAAAAGAAATACGATAGTCAATACTTACAATGCCAAACATTAAATTGCAAAATTACAAACTGCACATATCTTTTTTCGTTCTTTGCAAATTATGCCATGTATTTAACACTAACTTTCATGAAAACAGTTTTCTTACTGTGTTGGTCGATCTCTGCACATTTTTGCAAGATTGCTCTCACAAATAAGTTATCAGCGCAAAATGAACGTAACGATTCTGATATGTGAAGTATTGTAATATTGAACAAAAAAATTTTGTTCATTATACGATGATTTGGAGGCTGGGATCAGCATAGTTTCTTATGATGTTTAAAGGATATTACCGATACTGGTACCCCGTAGAAGTTTTTGGAGTTACGTTTATGATATCTCATAATTCGTGTCTTTGGCTCCGATACCATCAGCATGCTAGTTCGATTTTCAAACTACTTTCAATCTCGTAATAACATTTTACGTACATTACTAAGGGAAGGCGGGAAATCTTGTTATTATTATTATTATCTTTGAAGATCTAGGATAGCATGTTCAAGTAGGTTATTTTATTCACTGTGTCCCAACGAATGAACCAAATTGTATTTATAGTTTATCTTTGAACTGAAAACCAACAGATTTTATTAATAACTATTTAATAAGAGATTCGCTCTCCCCTATTTTCGCTAACAAGTTTACAACGTTTTTCATAGATCAGTTAGAGTAGTTTCTGGAATACCCTTCCATTTATCCACCATAAAGCGCTCCAACTCGTCAACACAATCGCCCAAAGATTTTCGATGGGGTTTAAGTCGGGACTATTTGAAGGCCAATCGATAACTTTTGGAATGTTTTTTTTTTTGAAGGTAGGCCTTAGTAAGACGATTGGTATGCTTCGGGTCATTGAAGCCGCCATTTGCCACGAAGCATTCGAAGGCGTCCCGAATGATTTCTACATGAATTTGACATTCATAATCCGCCAAAACAAAACAAACTCGTTTTACCCTTAGCACAAACCTCCTCCCCCCAGGCGAAATTTTTGTTTTGTCTTTTGGCATAGGGCGAATCGGTTGTTTGCCCTTATGCCAATGTTCCACCGTATTGCGGAACAGCTGCAATGCCGTTTTATCTGGAAAAAACAAACAAACCTTTTTTTTCAGTTGTCATTAATGTGCGCTTGGGCCCAATCTACTCGTTTTCGCTGTAAGCATTGGCGTTGCGATAAAGCAACATTTTTGGTATCCAATGTCGTTCAAATGCTTTGCGACTGTCATATGGGAAACTTTGACACCCTTTTCTGGCCAAAAATTGTGTTAAAATTGTAGTATACCGGCGAATAAACTGACCGACTGCTGTTGACAATCTTCTTGGGGCGGTCGTTTCTACCCCTTATATTGTCATAGATCGTGGAAAGGGAAATCCGTGCGCGTGCATGTATTTCAGCACCATTATGTACACCCTCGTTCCACAAATATAATATAGTTTGTCGTTATTGTTCTTGTTTCGACATAGCCATTATGTGGTTAAAGTTTGCATGCGCAAAAGAAGTTTTCTTGTCACAAACAGCATTTTATTTTATGCCAAACGTCATGTTTATTTTGCATTTTTACGCGTCAAAAACTATTTACAAATTGGGAATATAATAATAAACGCGTTTTTATCAAATCGGTAAAATCCGGTTTTTTTCTTAACAGACTGTATGTTAGTTATCAGCAAAAAAGGAAGAGTGAATATCAAAATCATTATTAAGTAGCACAATCAGTAGTCATAGGTTGGAACTATTATTGATATTTTCGATTTAGATGTCTGAATTAAATTTCTCAATTTGTATTTGCTTCCAAAGCTACCTACTTGAAACTCGAAAAAAGCTTTAGTTTTATCAAACGACGTGTTTTGATTCAGACATTTGTTCAATTACGCAATCTCCATGTTCGCGCTTTTCTCTGTAATTAGGACAATTTTTATTCGGTCAATATAGGTGAGTGGGTGGAATTGAGCGCATTGAAAACTAGAGAAATGTGTCTTATTTCTTTTCTATTTAAACCGTTTAAAAATACACAGTACAGCACACCAACCCGACGAGTCTATTAATGAAGTAGAGAAAGATGTTGAAAAGGTACTTGAATTATACCGACAAGCAGCTGAACAAGGACATTCTGATACACAGAATAATCTTGGTTATTGATATCAACATGAAATTGGAGATGTTGAAAAAGCAGTTGAATTATACCAACAAGCAGCTGGACAAGGAAATGCTGATGCACATAATAATCTTGGTCGTTACTATAAACATGGAATTGGGGTAGAGAAAGTGTGATGGGCGTTTAACAAATTATCTAGTCATTTTGGTACTAGTAGATTGTGACGTACCGTAATTTATTTAAAACCTTAACCTAACACCCGTTATGGCGGTCCTTCCCCCATCTACATACTTGATTAACCCTAGAGCAGTACTGTTAAGAAGTAACCGGGCACCTCTAATAAAGCAATTTGAATAATATTTTTTATTTTGAAGTATGATGGCTATGGAAGCTCCCGAGTTTAGGATCATTATCTTCTTGCAAAATCAAGTATCATCAACCCAAAAAGCCTATTGACAGTCCTAATCCAAAACCTGAGGCCGAAAAACACCCCCACCTTCCAGTGGATGCTTTACATTACGAATTAAAAAAATTTTTTCTTCCGGAAAAATCGCTGTAAAGAGCCTTTATTCCTTATGTTTTTTGGCCCACTGCAGTCGCTTTTTCCGATAATTATCCCATATTCGAAATCGGAGCACTATCGTTGAATTCCAGATCGGAACAGGAAGTGGTAATGAGTTTTTTGGAACAAAAATTAGAGACATCAAAAATAAAATAAAATAATAATAATGTTGTATATAATTTGTGTCGCTATATAATCCCGGATTTATATGCACAGTGAACCTGGATATAACGAAACCTGGATAAAACGAATTTCGACTATAATGAAGTTTTTTCGATGTCCCAAAACCTTGTCTAATAGAATTTCCTGCCCGGATATAACGAAAACCTGGATATAACGAAGAAAAGGTTGGAACGGACCACTTCGTTATATCCAGGTTCACTGTGTATATAATTTGTGGCAGCTCACCCATTTATACATATAATTTGCGTACGTAAATTCAATCACAGTATATCGTTTACGTTGCTTAAGAATTCTGACAGTTGGAACTTGTTTTGTGACAATGTATGTTACATTTCTGTTGAGCTTTTCTACAACGGCATCGACTACTAAGACATGCACTTTGACACATACACTTTGTTTGTCTACCAGACACTACATCAACGACGCTTTGCGTTTTTGCAGCTTCTCTTTAATGATAATCTTTGCATAGGTATATTGTCTAGTTCAGGAAAGTCTGCTTCAACAGGATTTAGTTCGTTTGCTCCATAGGGTGACATCCAGGATTCCAGAAGCGCATCCTAATCTGTACTTCCCTTTCGTTTTTTCAATAATTTTGCAAGGAAGTAGGGGCCGATCCACAATATGTCGGTCAATACGCGGAATCGAAAGAACGACTACGGATCCGACTTCAAAGTTTCGGTCGATTGATTTACTTCTCAAAAGTCGGTCTTGAATTTCTTTCCGCATTTTTTCAGTATTCTGTTCGGCCAGTTGCCTTAATTGCATGTGCCGAGTTGGTAGTCTCCACAGTTGCAATTCTTCATTATCATTTGCTTCATCGGAAAATTTGTTTTCATCTGTAATTGCGAAAAGTAACATACTTAGTATGAATAAACATTTTGACTTTATAATGCTAATGTTTGACCAATTAAAGCCTATTTACATTGCCACTAGCTAAACGATAGTACCATATATAATAAACTCTTACGTATAAAAAAAAATAAACCACAAATTATGTTGTAACAGTATTAATACGTATGATTATTAATAAACTTTATTTTGATAATATTATAATTACTATAAATATAAAGTTATATTAAACAACGATTACCAAGTTCTTTATTTGTCTGAGCCAGGCTTTCAGCTTCATTAATCCACCGCTCAAACTTTTCCTTCCATTGGCAAATTTCGTCAGAGTCAACTCCAGCGTTATTTCTGTAACGCACGCAATCTGTTAATGCTTCTCTTATTTTTTTGACCCCAACACCCTCCGGAAATTCTTCTTGCAAGCCGAAACAAACGGTCCACATGCTCCTGAGTCGATTCCATGGGACTATGTACTCGCTGTGTATGAAAAAATCATCATTATCCGTTTCAACGGCCTTGCCTTTCTTGGGTAGCCGTGGTTGCGGACGGTCTTTTCGGATTTCTGATGGTAAAGTAATAAAATAATTGCATCAATTTCAAGTACTAGATATGTTATTAGTAAATAATTGACATATTACGGTGCTTACCTTTATTTGACTTGCGTATAATTCTCGTGCGCCTCATTTCATGTAACCAGTCATTTAGTCTGTTTCTCCAGACATTTATGGATTCCTGTGGGCAATTACCTTCATTTTCGCAACAATCTATTTCAAATAATGCATCACGGATATATTTCCTTGGGACGTCTGGTGGCTCTGTCCGCTCACCAAAGACATTTTTCAATAATTGCTGAAATTCAGCCCAAGTATATTCGCATTCTCTAGGCATTTCAAAAAGGTTTTCTTATAGTCCAGAAGATTATTAGAAGAAGATTAACAATAGAATAACTATTAAATACATAGTATTAGAAAGTGGAAAAGTTAATAATTACCACTGACATCACTTTCACTGTCTGAAACATTAACTTTAAGTGCTGTAGTTCTACATAAGCTGTTAAAATTTTTGTTTATATAATAATAAGCAGTTTCTGACTGTATTTAATACCCACCTTCCATCTCAATTGCATCATTTGCTTCAGTGTCTGATATTAAGACTGCATTAACAGAAGTGTTTGGGTCTTTCCAGCTATCCTCATCAGCTGAAGAGGTTTTGGGTATTTTGGTGCCGTCTTTACCTTTCCGACAATGTAATCATTTTCTTTCTTTTGACCTGTATTTTTACGATGGTTTCTTCGTAATCCGCTTTTCCGCCCGCCACCACCAGCGGTGAGTGTAGCAGTACCGGGCCTAAGAAAAGATTATTTTATTTAGGAGAGGTTGTTGTGAGGCGATACATGTGTGAAACAATACTGGAAAAAGAGAAGACTTGAGAATGAAATTGATTTTGCAATGGAGAGGGTGCAATTTAACGTCAAGCACTGAATCTGATCGCTTTAACAGCATTCATATAATAAGAGATATATCAGTAAATTATATTTCATATCAACACAAGACCTACCATCAGTCACATAATTATCAGCATCTTCATCATTATCATCAATAATACTAGTTTCTGCTAGGTAGATTGGATCGATTTCTGGTATAATAATAACATTAAACAATTTATATATTAATTAATTAATTAATTAATGTTACCAGAGATAAATAGTGTAAGTCACAATACCTACCTTCATCTTCGATTTCATCATTACTTTCAATTTCCCAGTATCTCTCCCGTTATGGCAGATTCAAATAATTCGTCCAATATTACTCGGTCCTTAAGTGGCGAAATTCCAAAAATTAATATGGACTTACTCTAGTAGTCCTAGAAACTTCGCAATCCATCGTGTATATACAACACATTCATGATCAGGCTTTGTGATACTCTTTATTTCGTTAACCTTTTAGAATTCTACGTAGTAGTAGCATCTATGACATTTTTAGGGGTGTCTGATTACTGCGCAAGCATTTCACTGCCTGTAATGATTTTGCTGTTGCCTATATTTTCTCCAATATGTTCATTTTTCAACCAAGAACCTCAACCTTATTATAAAAAACTCATCACCCAACCATTTCCCCATCATTATGTTCACTAGTACTAGGGAACAACATTCTCAATGCCACACGCCTGCCCCTCACTCATCCATGCTTTCTGAAACTGTGAATAGTGTTTCACCGCTACATCATCTCACTTTTCCATTTTAACCATCCGTCTTGTTTCCTGACATTATCCTTGTCATTCCTTCGCTCAGCACGGTTTGTTGTTCCAAATAATAGTACAAAGTTTGATAAACATATCAAACTTGCATGTTTTCCAAAATTTCAGCAACAAGTTCTGATGGCCTCTCAACGCGGTATGTAACATATCGAACTCTCTAATAAATAACTAACCACTCGTATAGTTTATTTAAGATGGCGGACAAAGTATGTTATACATGTTTGGATTTGAACCTAAGATATGCAAAAACACAATTAGGTATCTGGCTCTTATATTAGTCAGTCCTCCTTCCTCGTTTAATACTCAGTTCACTTACTTGCATGCCCTCCATCACCCTTCTCGTCTTCATTAAGCATTCTTCTGAATAAATCACTACATCTCTCTTCAATTTTAAAGTCTGCCAAATCGTCCCCTCGTGTACTCCTCAAATTCACGATTCCTACAGGCTTTCCCATTTCTTTCGCTGCCTTGACCAACCTAAATGCACTATATGTTGCTAATGAACTACCAACTATCAACAATGCACTGCACTCTTCTATCATTTCATCAGCGGATTGCTTTACTCGTGGATGAATATTTTCTCCAAAGAACACGACGCTTGGTTTGTATATCCCCGTTTTACAACTATCGCACGATGGGTAGATAAATAAATCATAGCTTGTATCTTTAGGCGGCTCAACATCACCATCCGGATTTACTCTCGGCGTTAAACCATCCCGTTCAAAAGCCCTACTATATGTTGCCCATGCTGTATTCAATTTAGCCAATCTACTCTGAAAGTCTGTCCTTTTTCTTGTATAGCCGCATTGTAGACATTTGACCTCGTGCAAGGTTCCATGTAATTCAAGAATATTACGAGATCCACTATTATGATGTAGCCCATCAACATTCTGAGTTATTATCTTAGAAATTAGGTTCTGATTCTGCAGAGTGGTAAGCGCATAATGAGCACTATTTGGAAGCGCTTTGGCAATAGTTGGAAAACCAAAATATGAGCGAGCCCAGTATCGCTGGCGGAAGCGATGGTGTTGGATGAACTACAGAATTAGGATAAAATCTGTGAGTAATAAGATAAATGGTTTTGTTTGTTTTTTTTTTTTGCATAAGGCTGTGGGATCTTACTTCGTGATAAAATATCGGTCTGTATGTTTTATTAGTTGTATATGTCCCCTTCGAGAAAAAAGTTAAAGATAAGAGAATATGTGCAGGTTACGCGAAGTGGATACCGTTGACCTTTTTTTAAGTGCTTATTAAAGTCTTCTTACGTTTGGTCCACGATAATCTGGTATTCCGGAGTCGGTGCTTATTCCTACAATTCGAAAAGGCCGAACGTTCATTACTTTGCTTTATGGTCGTCGACTCACCAAGCCTGGTTAATCAAATTCTTCCTACCTGCACCTGTCAAAACCAGTACACGTCCTTCTGCTGCTTCCAAAAACTGTTTGAGCACATTCACTGAATTTGTGAGTCTTATTTTAGAAGGATTCGATGAAAATATAGGTGTCTTGGAGAATGGTATTTGAATGCGCATTCTGCAATGATGTAATTCTATCGATTCTGTAAATCTATATTACCCATCACGTGGTAATAGTAAGTGTAACATCTCTGTAAAACAACTAATATATGTGACACACTATGTATTAAAAATGGGGATTTAACAGTTCCAAGTCGCAGTCAGAACCCAGCCTAATAGCAAGAATAAGCGTGCTGTCATCTGCAAACAAACTCCATATGCCCGCTACGCCAAAGATATTTCGTCATAAGCGTGACGTAAGGTTAAATTTCTTTTAGTATTGGTATTAGGTGAATCAACTGATCTTTTGATTGCTTATTTTGACTGCCGATCGGTCACATTAAGAATCGCCTATTCCCACAAACGTTACAAAAACGTTACAACAACCCGCCAATATCAATATCCCATATCGACGAAGACTATCCCCTCACCTTCATTTCACAATATGATGCACCCAGCTGTAGTTGCGAGTATTGTTGTTGGCAGCGTAGTGGTTGCCTACGCTGTATATTGTGCTGTCAAAGAATATATTGATGAACCTATAGGCGTCCTTGTTGACAATGAGAAGTCTGAAAAAGAGACCAAAGTAAAGTCAGAAGACAAACAGAGTACTGGTAGGAGTACTTCTGTCGGCGCCTCGGAAGAAACTAGCTTACGGCAGAGAACGAGAACGAGGACTTCCAGACAGAGGTCTAGAGATTCGCGAGTCACAGCTTCTCAAGCTAGCATGATTCAGAAACACGACGTGAGTGCTATTCCTGTTCTTTATAAAGCCGAATATCGATAAGGTATGTTTACCATTACTAACGTTGTTTCTCGTACGAATATAACTTTTACAGCCTGAAGAAGAAGAAAGACTTCAAGAACAACTCTCCTATTTTACGGCAGTAGAACAAGAAATCGAACGTCGTAAACTTCGGCTAGCTGCTGAAGAGGATCTACTCCTTCAGCGCGAGCGAGAGATCCAGCGTCGGCGTCAATACCTCGATTCCTTGAGTGATTCTCGTTCAAGCCCCCCTTCCTCCGAAGATGGTACATCTGAAGCTCATCGAACGTCCACTACTGGCCTCACAACTGTCTCTTCCACTACTGCTGTTCCTTCTGCGCCTGCTGCCAATTCAGATAAAAAAGAAACATCCCTTCCTCCGCTCAGAGTAGTTGACCCAATTGCGTCGACTCGTTTATCGCCCGTTCCGGCCGTCAGTGAGACGAATAAGACTACTGTTGATAGCAATACGTTGGTTGAACAGGAGCCCATTAGGAGACGAATAGCTACTTCTGAAGAAGAATGGTGTGATATTGAGTCTGTAGCTAGTGAGAACTTTGGAACTATGTCATCTGCAGCCGATGTGGATTGGGACAAACTCCAATAATGTAAAATTGGAGAAGAGACGAAAAAATGTAATCAATGGTGATCTATTTAGTGGCCGGATAAAAAGGCCCGTATTGATAGTAAATAATACCCATTGTAATATTAGATAATAATTTGGAAACACCTCAAGTTGAAGCAACTCGCTTGTTCAAACAGGTTATTGACTCGTGCCTACATGTTAAGTCATATGATTCATTCTACAATAAGTAATTAGAAAGAGCAAAGAGTGGTATGTAAGTCGTGTTGTACAAATGTTAGTCTTATAGTAATAGTCGGAAGGCTGAGTGGCTTGATTCATTTTTAGCAAACAGCCGCGGAAACCTGTTTCGTGTCTCGAGAGAAAATTTGAAGTGAAAGTATTATAAATAGAGTACCAAAGTACGTTCATTGAACTTTGAGACAAATAAAAACTGCACGTAGTTGACCATTGGATAACAACGCCGAAATCTTTTAATCACGACTTTTAATTAAAGTGCACTGCTTATTAACCCTGCATACTTTCCAATTTTCTATTTCACTTTTGCTGTCACTGTTTCTATTCTTTCCCATTGCCGCTTATTCGCCTTCATACTATGTCTTCAATGCATCATTACCACCCACTTCAAAACCACTACGTTCTTACTCAAATATTCAAATACCTCACCGAACAACGCGTTTTATATAGCTGTGTTCAAGTATCTTCACACTGGTATGCCTCCGCTGCACCATTCCTCTACCGCCGCCCTATTCCAAAGAAACTTCACAAGTTCATTAATACCATAGCGGACGCTGCTCAGCACAGGACTCTCCTTCCTTACAATCTCATGGTTTGTGAATGGATACTTGCAGACAAGCCAAATGCGCTTTTCATGTCTCAGTGTTGCTCGAATGTACGGTATATATGCTTCAGTAAACATGTCTTTATAGACGAGAGCCTGACTGAAAAGTTACTAAAAAATTGGCGTCGCTTGAGATCTATCGTTTTGCAAAAGAATGCTACGGACGAGACGCTATCTCTAATTGCGCAACATTCACAATCGATAGAATCAATTGAAATTCATGGGTGTCTAGTAACTGACAATGGAATACGCACTCTTTTGTCTCATTGCCATGCAATAAACAGTATAACAATCGTCAAATGCCCTTCCATCACCGACAAGACTCTCAACGCACTATCATCTGCTCCATGCACGTCCATTCTTCAGACACTGAACATCAACGAGTGCCAGTTCACCGATAGTGGCTTCGCAGCGGTTTCTCTCTTCCCAACGTTGCACAGACTTTCTTTGCAGGCACTCAAAATAAACTCGGGTCTGCTACATCTGGCCAAGAGCGTTCCTCAATTGGAAGAACTGACGTTTCGTAACATGCCAAAGCTCACGGATAATGTTGTTGCTACATTCGGGAAAACGTGTAGGGAATTGAAGAGGTTGAAGTTGTATCAATGTAAAGAAATCAATGGAGTGGGAGTGAAAGAGTGTAAAACAATAGTCGAGCTGAGTTATTTTGCAGCCAACATGGAGTTTGGTGAGCTGGAGGGGATATGTGACGGATGTAGGAAGATTGAGAAATTGACTATTGATGCTAAACTACATGATGTTGGGAACGATGAGGTGAGTACTTGGGATTGTGGGTATAGGTAACGTGTGAGGGTAAGGTAAAGGGATAAGATATAGTGCTAATTGTGTCTGACAGGGTAATGGGTGTTTGAGATTAAACCTTATACAGCTTCCGATTAACGATGTCATAATTGTCTTATCGTTCTGTAGGATATTATCTGCGCCATAAGCCAGCTAAAGGAATTAAAGGCTCTTGGGTTGTATTCTGGAAGTCTCATTAGTCCGTTGGATAAATTAAAATTACAAAAGGAATGTCCCAACTTACAAAAAATCAATTGAAATCAAGCAGCATTAACGGTCAATAGCGTTCAGATGTTGGGTTATTTTTCATTAGAATATAGACTATTCGATGTAGAGAGCACTCTGTGCTCACTGTATAATAGGATGAACTGGTTGTCACTTTTTTTTTGTATAATATAAGGAAACTTTAGATCGTAAACTGGATTTAAGGAGGAGTATAATTGCATGGACATAGAATCAGTACAGAAAAAGTTATCATTTTGCATCTTTGAAATATCAATAACTGTATTTATCTCATCAGGACATTCAATTGCATCAAAATATTTATTCAATATTACTTGTGCTCACTATCCTTTCTTAACGCTAACTCATCGTATGCGGGGTTGATGTACACTCTCGTGCGCTTTGGCAGTCCAAAACTTTCACTCCTTGGAATGCACAACGTACATTATGCTTACTGCCCAGCCCAAAACCATCGATCATTTAGTCCGAATCTAATTACCAGACACTGGAGCGATCTATTACAATGTACGGTTGGAAAGGATACGATCAAGTCCTCAATCCCTATAATAGAGAGACAGGGAGTCGGCAAGATTTGCTGTCGGAAGGAATTTTTCAGACGGCTATTTTCGGATAGAAATCTACAAAACTTTAGATTCATTTCTTGTAATTCCGTAAATCGATAAAAGCTCGCGACACATTTCAGTCAAGTGACACAGAATGTCAAGCTATTGTCTAATACAAAAACTGATATTTTTACATTGTGATACAACGAACAATGTGTTCTCTGCCACTGTTTCCATATCGAAAAGTATAATAGTGCTATTGACGTTAGTCCTATTGTCAGACCAGCCAATTCGAGGTCTTACCAACTATGTCATTTTTCAATCATTTACTCTAGTATCTTATTAGGGATTTCTAATAATAGTTAATCTGTCTGCGTCAGTCGGTAGTTAAATCATGAACGTGGTATGTCTTCCTGTACCGCTTTTGGCCACTGTTCTTGAGTATTTCTTCCAGTCCAGGAATTCACTCTTACTCGTTCCATTCAGCTGCATTTATAGTATTAGCATCAAGAGTTCCATTCTACGGTTCATTTTTTATCGCTACCCAGTATTATTAATATTGCTAACATTGTGTCTAAATTCAAGGTCACTGTATGGCATAAGCCACAAGTCGGTGGCTAATGACAGTATCATTATGAAAAAATTACCCCAAGTTTAAACTAAACATACAGTATAATAATGGAACGACGGGTCTTACGATTAAATATGCAAATCTCCATGTTGCATAATATATATTTTGCTGGGCAGAATAATCCATTGCGATTCCGAACGGATATGCACTTATCGATCACACCTAATAGTGTTCTTGTGCCAAGGACAAATACAAGCGGGTTTAACACTGACAAAAAACTTGGATGCAAATTATTCTCTACATCTCAACGGTTTCCGAATTCCTTGGATTGGACAATCAACAACAGCAGAGTAACTTTGACTTTAAAAATGACATTATTGCATTTGTCATTCACAAATGCATGGCTTAAGCTTATATAATTTATTAAGTTATCTCCTATAGACGCCAATTGCATAACATCTCTAGCTTTTAATTTTTTAATATTTCTTAATTGTCGCCGAAAGGAAGATGGCAGTAAGTTTTGTTTTAAAAATTAAGCTTGTTTGCAACCATTTTTAAAGTACTAAATAACGTTTAAGAGTGAAAATAAAGTTATGAAAATTAGGTTTATTATTAGAAGAAGTGTCGCGAGCAACAAAGCGGGGGGGGTGCATGAAATTGAGCATAACTTTCTTTTATAAAATTAACGCAGAATTTATAAGAAAGACGATAATATAAGAATGCAAGGAAAGGAATGTGGAACGATTGTTTTAATAGATGACAAATCGAGGATTGAATCGATAGCGAGTATGTGAGACACTTTAGAATGCAAAAAAGGTTTGACTTTGTATTGACAGTATTTGCTAATAATTTTTATACAGTGTGCGACAACAAAATTAACTGTTGCAGAAAAAGTTAAGCAATTAAACTTTGTTCATATTTTACCAGCCAAAAATTTGTCTATTACGCATCCTAAATAAATAAGACTAAGCTGTCAAATGTCAATATAATTTTATATAATCATGTGATATTCGTATCTAAATTTACTATATAGTTGTATTTCGTAGTTTTTATGGCATGCTGCTTTAGCATGAGAAGAATAAAAGTATTAGACTATAAAAGCACCTGGAAGGTGGGCGGACGTAGTATAGATATACAGTCAAACCTCGATATAGTGAAGTCAGCGGGATGGCATTTTTCTTCACTATATCGAAAATTCACTGTATCGAAATCTTTCAATATAGTAAAGTTTATACTAATGCTGTTTTTGGATCAGAGGAATTGTTTACTATATAGCGCGAAATTCACTATATCGAGGTAGAACGAATAAGCATCAGGAAAAATCAAATAAGTGGATGTGCCATGTAATACAACCGTTGAAAACGAGTTTGTTCACTTGAAAAAATTTTACTATGTCGTTAGCATCAGAGACTGTTAATAATCCAGCAATTGTTAATCCAGAAATTGTTAATCCAGCAATTGATAATCCAGCAATTGATAATCCAGCAATTGATAATCCAGCAATTGATAACTTAGTTCAATCCTCACCAAATGAATATGATGGAAAACTTAAATGGATTCCTTACGAAGAAATTACCGACATAAAGCCAACTCAAATTGACAATGTTCATTACGCTATTCGCAAGCAAACGGGTGGTGGTGGAGTTTATGAAACGAGGATAGTGCTTTCACTGCTTGGAAATAATGAAATTTGCACACCAACACTTGTTAGTGAGTTTGCTAGAATATACTCACTTCCGACACACAAGTACAATAATGAAGACGATAACTTCAGAAGATACAAGAGTTGGCTTGAATATCGGAACGCACACATAGTTGGATTCACCAAGTCTAATGACAAGTATTACATGGTTGCTGATGAACTCTTTTATCGCTGTTATTCTCGATATGGATTTTGCGCTGCATGTGGAATGCTCCGATGTAGTCCCGTGTGGTGCATTTGCGGGCATAAACAATTATCCGATGGATGGACTAGCAGCAATAAGCAACTCGACGAGTTTATCAGGAAATCTCAATTACAAACGAACTCAGCAAATGAACACTATTTGGAATGGATTCCATGTGATCGTATTGATGATGGGGGAAATGGATATGGATACTTGTATGGTTTACCTACTTATGCGGCTAGTAACTTGATTTCGCTTGAAATAACCGATGAGGCAGATGATTCATATTATGATAAGGTAACTATTCAATATCTATTGAATTATTTGAACAATTATTGCCTTAATACAATGTGTCATTTCTACTAGTTATGTGCTGAGCATTCAGAAAATACATGGGTTACCATTGGATTTACATACAATGCAAGTAAACAAAAATATTATCTAATAACGACAAAAGAAGAAAATGAGATTGAATTCTGTCTAGTTTGTACACGTCGATTTAAACGTGAAATAAATACATTCTGCTTCGAATGTAAAGCACCAAGACCACTTGACTGGACGACTGGCAACGAGTCTTTGGATTCATTCATAATGAAGTCATGGAGTAATGTGAAAGATGAATACGATGATTATATACAATGGATTGAATACACTCTATTGACAAACGTACGAGCGATGACATCATTACGCCACGGATGCACACATATAGCAGATTGGCTAGAACCAACAACAAATGAATGGACAAAAGTGGCACTCAAGCAGATAGGTGATACTCAGGTAAATTATCTCACATGTAAACAGCGCAAATAGTATTAAGTATGCGTCGTGCGTGTTAAACCGATAATTGTTGTAACGATCGTATTGTTTACTCAAAGCTAATTCAGGAATACCCGGAGATATTAACACCAAATAATGTTTGGATTATCGGGATCACTCAAGAGCCATCTACTTGTGAATACTATTTAGTGTTCCATCATGAAATACGTGCAATATTGGCCAAAATTATACGACTTCACAGACATATAAATATAAGATATATGCATTATGCTGATTTTGATGAAATTAAGGAGATTGGATCTGGTGGTTACGGAACAGTCTATACTGCAAAATATAAATGTGACGACATTAATATGCCAGAAACCGTTGTTCTCAAACGCTTCAAGAATTTTGATCAGACACCGGAATTACTTATTTCCGAGGTACACAATTTTTGGTAGCATTAAATGTTATGATCTCTAATCTGACTCTGTATTTACTTTTATTAATAGTTCAGAAATCATACCAAGTGTTTGCGATATAACTTCCTTAAAGTTTATGGAGTCACGCAAGACCCAAAAACAAATGAATACATAATTGTTGTGGAATATGCTAACAATGGTAGCCTTCTGTCTTATTTAGATCAAAATATAAACAAGTTAACGTGGAAGATGAAATTAGAGTGTTTGAAGGATATTGCAAATTATCTGGTTACCATCCATGCTACGGGATCTGTGCATTGTGATCTTCATGGCGGAAACATAGTTTTGCATGGTAAGGGTTCTGAGACTAAAAAAGATTTTCGTACAAGCCACCCATTCATATGTGATCTTGGTCTGTCTCGATCAATGAATTCGCGCGAGTCAAATTCAAACATTCGAGGCGTTCTACCCTTTATTGCACCGGAAGTCTTCCATACCTGCAAATTTACGAAGAAATCAGACATATATTCTTTTGGTATTATTACATATTTAATTGCGACCGGTGAGCCACCTTTTAGAGATAGGCAGTTTGATAGAGATTTAGTATGCGATATTTTGGGTGGACTACGACCATTGATGCCTGATTCAGCACCAACGGAATACAAAAAACTTGCTCAGAGTTGTTGTGATGCCGATCCTGATAAGCGCCCAGAGACATGGAAACTTCGTCATTATATTGACAATCTTATTAGAGATATGGACAAGGATAAACCTGACGACAAGTGGAATACCGTTTATAGTAATAATAATGTAAGACCCTTGTCACGTCTCGAGAAGG